GTTCCATGCACCTCAGGATATAGTTATGCTGGTCACATGACCATGGAAATACCTTTGGACACTGGGGGCTCACTTGGCAAATGGAGATGAGCATCATCTCCTTGAGTCAGACATGATTGGGCATGGGAAGCCTTTACTTTTACCTTAATGGTAAGTAAACATTTAAAAATATAAACAGTAGAAAGCTATATTGTACTCAACATTCAATAGTGTGAGCTCTCTTAAAGAAATCAAAAGTAATTTAGTTTGATGATAAGATGGTAAGTTGAAAAACCTCTCCTCAGCCACATGGGAAGTGAGTAAGATTTCAAGGAGTCAATAAAACTGATGCTTTGGAAGCCTAGGGAATCTTCCAGCTCATATCTAAAAAAGACTAGAATAAATTATATTAAATAAATAGAATTTCTTAAATGCTGAAACTGTAAAATTTAGAGCTCATATTCTATATATGATGCTAGCCGAAGAGTGTATGTGAAAAGTAGCAGCTGTTAACACCGAGCTTGGCAAAGTTTCACTGAATTCTCTTTGGTGATAAACTCATGTTGTTTCCTGCAGAGATGCCTAGTGCTATCTCCTGCCTGTCAATTCAGCTCCTTCAAATGGTTTACATGACTGATAATTGTTGCCTTTACTGAATTAAGCCTTTAGATTCGCTGGTATTGCCTGAATCTGATGCAAACCTACCACAGCCACCAGAAAAGTTTGGAACGATTGGGATTTTGAACTCCCCAAGATGTTTCATCCAAGCAACATTGCTATTTCTGCTTGGGAGTATTGCTAATGTCTAAGGAGAGCGGGTTCACAACCCCCACAGTGCAGGATCAGCCCACCCCAGGAGAAGCGCCCAGTGGCCATCCCTGCCTGGCACCAGGCAGAGTGCAAAGAGCTTCGCCTGGGGCGCCCAGCGCAGCTGACAGGCGGGCCCTCCTGCCCGGCGGCAGAGCTCTGGCCAAAGCAGTGAGCGCCTCCCTGCCGGACTCTCCACTCATCCCGCCAGGGCCACGCCGGAGCTGAGCAGGATTGGCAGAGCCGGGAAAGTGAGCCGCTGGTGCGCATCCGCCTGCCAAGCAAAAGAACCGGGCTGACTCGAGCTTGGCTTCCTTTCCAAGTCCCTCCAGCCCGACCCGGAAGGGGCCACTGGGAGAGGCTGCCCGAGGCAGTGATAGCGCTCACTCATTCGTGGACAGGGAGGCAAGGCGACAGCCCACACCGTATCCTCCTCCGAGCTGAGCCCCGCCGAGTGAGCACCTCTGCCTGATGCCCATGCCGCGTTTGAAGCTGCCAGTGAGTTTGGAGATGCGTGGGGACAGGGACGGGCTGGGTGAGGGGTGGAAAGGACGGACAGCTTCAGGCTCTCTCCGCTGGACCTGATGGCCAGGGAAGCAGCACCTGAAGCCGAGTGTCTCCACCAGGCTCCGGTTGCAGAGAGGAGCCCTGGTGGGCCGCACATGGCTGCGCCAAATGCCACATGGCTGCGCCAAACACCACGGCATTGCTCCAAACGCCATGCCAAGCTCCCCTGCCATTCCCCCCCATTTCGCATGTTTTAATATAGGCCTTAATTTGGGGGGAGAGGCTTAATTTCATTTCATGCCAAGAAAACATGCTGGGACTTCCTATTGGGGGAGGCCGTATTGTTGGAGAAACAGGGTATTAGTTAGATGAAAGAGGTTTCATTATTGCACATGACTGAAAGCAAGACATTGTGAAATCCAGTATATGCTGAGTTTGTTGGGACCAATAACTAAAAATGCAAAGTAATATGCAAATTAGTTCTGTTTTTTGGATCTTGAGGTTTGGTAATCTTAGTCTGATGAGGCTGATGGCAAATTATGGGAATTTAAACTATAATAATAATTCATTTTTGAGATATCTTTAAAATCTTTGTTGCATTATCATGTCTCATGAAACATTGCTCATGAATCGTGTTTTGGCTATTATGAAATCAAACATGAATAAATTTGGTGAACGTGTTCATAATTAATTACTAGTACCAATAATTGACACGTAGGGAAGAGTCTTCTGGGGACAAATCCTCTAATAACTGTTCACTAAGTATTCCTCTTTCTGTGTCTTTTATTATATTAAACCAGTTCTCCTAGCACTGGTATAGACCCAAGTAAAGCAGAGATTACTTGATTGAATGGTTGAGAATTGCTAATTTAATGGCAAACATGCTCAAACCAGAATTGGCGTCTATGAGGTTGCTTGGTCAACTAATTTCTAACCTCCCTATATTCAAAACCTGTGATTTATTTGTAGAAATGATGAAAGTCATTGACTGACAACTCTTCCAAAGGAGACTCTTATTTACTCTGTAAAACCACTATCATCTTCCTCCACAAGCCATAAGTGAACCAATCTAATGTTTTGGCCTCTCCCAACCAAATTAATTTTCCCAGTTCAAAAAGGATCCTATTCCAAGGCTCATATTTGGAACCCAACTTCTCCTCAAAAAAACCGACAAATATACAGACCGGTTCAGCTAAACTCAAATGTTTTTTAAAGAAGGAAAGCAAACAACCCAACTATTAATTAAATGCCAAACTCTTATGAAGTAAACTGAGGGGGGAAGACCTAAAACGAAGGGCTTACACTACTTACGTCCATTTACTTTGTTTATTCTCCAAATAGGAGAATTATTATTTTTTTTGAAGAATGTTTCATAGCTCCATTGAGAATTGTAGTTGCTCATACCCACTTGAAAGCAATGAATCTTGCCTGCTAGACAAATAGAGGGTTGCTGCTTTTGAACTCTTGAGTTCCTCCCTCATAAGTAGGCGTTAGGTCTGTTTTCCTTTTGTGCCCTCATTGGGATTCTCCTATGGCACCCAGCCTTGATTTTGGAAGTAGTGCACTAACTTTCTTGTGCAACAAACAGAATACTCTCGTTCCAATGTGTGTTATTGACAGGCACACAACATTTGGTTGGACAATTACTGTTGTTTTTGTGTATGATGTCTAACCAAAGTACTTGCTAAATGCGGACTGGATGAACATTTATACTTCCGTACATGTAAATGAGCCAAGCTTTTCGTTACATTGCCAACCATTTTTAGAAAATGAATTGTCCATTTTAGCAATCCACACTAGGTTAATATACCAGCAGTAAATCATCTCACACTGATTTTTCTAAATAAAATATTTGCTGTGGATTGAAATTCCCATTAATACATATGAATCTTTGTATCTATGCTTCACATTCCTTTAAGGTCCCTAGCTTATAAATGCTAAATCTGAGTCATATTTCACCAACAGCTTATTGGATGAGCATGTTGTGATCTGTAAATTAGTTTGGGATATGCAAACTACGTTATTGGGAGGTTGTTTTGCTTTTGTAGTGACAAACGAAACAAAATTCTTCAAGACATCTGGTTACCAAACTTACCTGATTTTTCTACCTTTTAGCTCTGTGTAAAATAAGCATATCAATTGCTTTGATTTTGTTGGTCAGTACTGTTAGTTTTAACCTTGAGTATCTCCCAAGTACAGCAAATGCATAACAGGAGAATGGCAGCACAGGTTTGCCCAGGGCAAAGGCACTTTTGATATAACTATATTTATATTTTTTAATTGAGTGTGGCCATTTACAGTATTAGGGCAAATCTTCATTTTTCACCACTTTTATGGAGGGGATGAGAAGGTGAAAATCAAAGATATTTGTATCACATGCAACTTTTGTGTGCCTTTTTTCTTAATTTATGCAAGGCAATTTACATGCCACCCTAACTCCTTAGAGCAACTTACAACCAGAATGAAAGCAATGTAACAGGTTTGTTGCATGCAACAAATCAGTCAACAATAAATCTCATAATGCTATATAAAAATAAAGAGACCAGAGAAAACTCAGTTAGATCACGGAGGGCTGGGTTTTGTTTTTCCTTAAATCTGCACTGACATCAAAATTGAGATACCACCTAAACTTCAGTGGGAAGTGCATTCCAGGATCTATGAGGCTCATATAATTAACAATACTGTAGACATTATTAATCTCGTATTAGAAAGGATTATAATACCTGGGACAACTGCAAAGGGATTGTCGATCACCTGATCAAAGTCCTGCTCCGTTTTCCATGCATTGCACCTGTATCACCAGTGAAAGGGGGAGGCACAGTCATATGGTTGTGGTGACAGTCTTGAGTTTTTGGAGTCTTCATTGTTTGACCATCTCCTGCAAACAACCCTAGCGGGATTCCTTAGAAATGTTGCCATTTCATAGCATTGAGAGCACTAGATAGTAGCATTCTGTTCTTCTTTTTCTTTCATCCAAGGTCAGGAGTCGGTTGTGGTCACTCGTGTAATAACAACTGAGGTTATCATTCTGAATGCCCATAGATAAATGGTTTTTATATATGATCTTACTGACCATATATAAACATCACACAAACTTTAAATGTACATGTTAATCCTCGACTTACGAGCACAATTGTGGAACAGACCACCGATTCTCTTTTGAATAAAATTTTCAGCTTAGGATATGCTATGGTGTGAAATATGTGCTTCCAGCAAAACTAAGTACAGGTAGATCTTGAACCCAAACTTTCTGTTGCTAAGTGAGATATTTGTTAAGTGAATTTTGCCCCACTTTATGACCTTTCTTGCCACTGCTGTTAAGCGAATCACTGCAATCTATAAGTTAGTAACCCAGTTGTTAAGTGAATCTGGCTTCCCCATTGACTTGGCTCATCATAAGGTCGCAAAAGGGGATCACAATGATCCTGGGACACAGCAAAGGTCATAAATATGAACCAGTTGCCAAACATCTGGATTTTGATCATATGATCACGGGGGATGCTGCAAAACGGTCATAAGTCACATTTTTTCAGGGGCGTTGTAACTTTGAATGGTCACTAAATGAACTGTTGTAAGTTGAGGACTACCTGTATTTAATTTCAAATTAATTGTGTCGGGTTGAAATACTTGTTTTAAAAAGATTGAAAACCAGCTTCTTTTACACTGGAACCATGCTCTCTCTCTCTCCTTATTTTCATTTCACACAGTGTCAAGATTCTCCAGCCCAAGAGTAACGCCAAGACTCAGCAGGAAGCGAGCGCTTTCTATATCCCCCTTGTCCGACGCCAGCATTGACCTCCAAACCATGATTCGGACTTCACCCAATTCCCTGGTTGCTTATATTAATAATTCCAGAAGTAGTTCTGCCGCTAGTGGCTCGTATGGCCATTTATCAGCAGGGGCAATAAGGTAAGGCAAGATGAAATACCTCACACAATGAAATTCTCAACTTTTCAATTTCTGGCACAATCCTAAACTACAGCAGGGATTGCAATTCAGTTTCCCCAAGGGCCAAACTGGGATTCTTGTGGAGATGTGGAATAGGTGCATACATACGCAAACTGAAAAAAAAAAGGCAATTGCCTTCAAAATAAAACCAATGTAGATGTATTGCATGCACGGCCTAGGAAGGACAGACCTTTGATGGCCTTAGGAGCAGTCAGTCTATTGCACCATAAGCAGCCCAAAGAGGGGCCGGTCTACCTGCCTTCCGAAGCGTGGGATGAGCTGGCCTGCCAGGCTTGCCAAATCACTTAACTTCACCCCCATCAGTACTTCTAGCAGAAAAGCCTTATTTAATTTTGAACCAGGACAACCAAGGGGCCAGATGTGAGCCAGAGATTGTAAAATGCCTATGGCTTCTCCACAGTTAAAGAGACAAAATAAGCAGCTTTTCATTCTCTCACGTTGAGTCATATTCGTTTGGTTATTAAAACCAACGGTTTTTGAAATGGAACTTGTGCAGATGTCTTGTTTGCAAACCTTTATTCCAAAGGTTTTTATTGGTATACAGGGATGAAGCTATTCCCTGATTTCAGAAACAGAGAGGGCTATGTTCTTTTTCCATTAAGTTGAAAGTGAACAGGCCTCAAGTGGATTATTTTATGTTCTTCAGAAACTGTGCATCTCTTGTCAATTGTAAACAATTATTTAAAGTTTGTATCTATTTCCCCAAGCTATCAACAACTGAGCAATGTTATTTAAATTATTTTCTCTGATTATTTATAAATGTGTCAATCCTTGGATGAACCACTAATAAAAAAAATAATTAAAATGAGACTCACACTTCCTGATGGTATGAGTAAATATTCTTTTTAAGCATCAGCACATTCTCGTACTTTGTTGGGTTTTACATGCCCATGAATCCAATTTCTAATTTATAGTAAGCAGTAATTTCCACATGTACAATTCCTCCCTTGAAGGATTCAAATAGCAGAAGCAGCAGGGCCACTGAATGCCAGGAATCTATAGTAAACAGCACACAATATCTCAATAGAAATACTGACCTTGAATGATACATGGCTCCCGAAAAATCTCTGGCGCTCATCAGTGATCTTTTGATAAACTTGGACTGACCATGTGTAATTCATGGCCAGCAAAGAGATAATATGCAACTGACAAAGGCCAGCTCCAGTGAGCTTGATAAGTCTCATAATTTTTTTTTTAAAGCATAAAGTCAAGGGAAATTGCCTTAAGGGGATTCCTTGGAAAATCCAGAATGCACCAAAGGAAAATGTAATAATCTAAAACAGGGGTGTCAAACTCAAGGCTTGTGAATCCGGCCCGCAGGATGCTTATATCTGGCCTGGAAATAGCAAAGGACCGGGTCACGGTACCTTTCCTAGCAAAAATGAGGCGCAGGGGGAGGCACAGGCTGCCCCCATGCGCCCCATTTTTGAACTGGACTGCCTCCTGCAGCACTCTACCGGCCAAAATGGGACACAGGGGGCATTCACCCTCTTCCCCTCCCCAACCCCAGTCAGCCCACGGAGGACAACTACAATGCTGATCCGGCCCTCCAAGAAATCCAGTTTGACACCCCTGATCTTCATTAGGGATCCAACTCATTTGTTATTTCTACCTATTTTGCAAGCAAATATTTTAAGATTCAAAAGTAAGACATGCATGGGACAACCTGCTGTTTAGAGGAAGAAGTAGCCCAGCCAGGCTGATTTCAACTCAGCGACTGCCCTTAGCAAACTTCGGTGATTTATTGTAATTGTTAAAGGCTCCACCAATCCAGTTTGATCTTTCTTCCTTCTCTCCAGTCCTGCCTTTACCTTCCCTCATCCGATCAACCCAGTGACATACCAACAAATTCTGAACCAGCAAAGAGGCCTGAGCTCAGCATTTGGACATACCCCTCCTTTTCTACAGCCATCTCCAACTTTCCCTGCCCGGCAGCATGTGGCTGTCATCTCGGTCAACTCTTCTCCTGCTCAGATCAGCAACAGCAGCAACTGCATCGCTGAGTCCAGCCAGGTAGGATCCTCATCAGCTTCTGGCAGGGTTTCAGGTGGTTTTGTGGAAAGCGGTTTCACAAAACCCAGGTGAGTCTCTTAGCATTAATCTTTTCAATTGCCCTGTAAATTTCACTCATCACCACCCTTGCTTTTTATGTTAAATCATTGGCATCCCAAGTCTTCCCAGTTCTGGATGCCCCCCCCCCCCCCTCATAGAGTGCTCTTACCCTTGGCCAACGGTGTCTCAGTGCTCGTGCATCTCCAGCAGTGAATGCTGATGAACTGCAGTGATCTGCCATGAAATGAACTGGTACTCAGATTATGAAGCAGCTGTGTTGCTACAAGATCAACTTAATATATGTATTTGCCCTTCATCAGGTAGCGTTCTGATGACAGAGTGCCTTTTAGTTGGCAAGTGACTGAATGTATCTACTTGGAATGAATGAAGCTATTTGTCTCCAAAGTGCAGATGAATCAGTTAAAGTAAACTGAAATTCCCAGTTTACTGGAATATGGATGCGGTGAAATCTGTACTGTTAATCCAATTCATACTGAAGCAGCTAGTTCAAGCAATTGTGCTGTCATGTGAGGTGGGGTGTGAAAAATAACACTGTAAAGTGTTTGCTATTCAAAGGGTTTCTTTTTAATGGAGATGAAGATTTATTCCTCAGTAGCAGGGCTATCCTGAACCTTAAATTAGGGGAACACAACATATGTTGGTCAAAGTCAGCATCTGATTGTGATGTGTTGTGCTGAAACTCCAAAATGAATGGACCTAGATGATATTTGGCTTAATTTCAAACACAATTCACAGAATTGTTGCCAACATGAATAATAATTTTCCTTTACGGATGCATTAAAATGTAACATTTATCAACAGCCTTGGAGATCTCCAAGAGCCAGACCCATGATTTTAAGTGACCCTCTCTGACCCAGGGGCTGCTACCTTGAAAAATAATAATGTAGTTTGTCCATCACAGACAAACAATAATACTGTACATTTCTGGGTGAAATACATTACAAGGGATATTTCACTGAGCATAATAATATTCAGAAAATGAAGGCAGGCTTTAAGAGGAAAAAAAAACATATTTTCTTTTCCTGGATTCATTTTCATCCTGATGTACAGCAGCTGCTTATCAGTCATCTGAAACTGACCGATTTCGGTCAATTACAATGCCACAATGCTGCATTTACTTAAGCACGTGGATCATGACCACTTAACTCATCATCATTTTATTTTTGCTTTACTAGAACAAGCAAAGCAGTGAATCGGCCGTTAGCAGCACAGTCAATCCAGTAATTCATAAACGCAGTAAAGTCAAGACTGAAACAGAGATTCTACCACCAGCTTCTCCACCGACTCAGGTAACTCTTAAAGGAAAGACTACATTCAGCGCTTGGATTGATTAGCTAGAATTTTGTAACCCACCACTCTTTGAGCAAATTATGAATTTGCAGTGAGGAAGAAGGCAGCAACCTCAAGTGTGGGGTGTACATTGTCTTTGAAATACATTAAGTGATAGAGCCATGCTGGAATTGGAAAATGTTCTTTTTAGGTGCTGGGTCATTAGCAATATGTTTTTCCTTGGCTGTTTCATCTAAAATTATTTGAAATTGTTTATTGCAAAGATTGATGCCATGCAAATGACATTCTTTTTTGACATTAAATAGGCACACACCCTCGAGAATGTCAGGGACAGTTTCATTCTGAGTATGGGATTCAGTGATCAGAATTCGGCAAATTTGCAGTTCGCATCCTGAATAGAAAGCACTTTGAAAGTTGCATAGGCTGGAATGACTGGGGGTTTCTAGACAAAATGTATCAGTGAGAATGTTTCAAGATCAATGATCTCCTTCCCACATCTCAACATGATTGCAGATTTCTATTGGAAAAGAACATGTTGGTCATGGCATTTTTTTCAACAGACATGTCACACTGCATCTAAGCAACCAGAAGAAAGATGTTTGACACTCCTGACTCACTAAGCAAGTGATAATGGTATCGGAGAGCAAAGTTAGATGACAAGAAGAACTTGTGTCACAATAGGAAGCCCCCAATAAGAGACTTGTTCCTCTTCAGGAAGCAATTGCTGAGAGCAGCATCCTTTACCCCGGTGACACAGTATTTGACACCCAGAAAGGCCCACCGGTTTCTGTGTCCTTATCAGAACTGCTGAGTTCCAGGCGGCTTAATGGCTGACACACTCTCTGACGGTTCTTTATCACAACTGTAAACTATTGGGAGTGCTCTAGGCACTTCATTTTCATGAAATATGAGGCTTGCTATTGTCAAGCCAACAGAAGAGTTTATGACAAATTTCTCTTTCAGTTCCAGTTCAGAAGCGGGTTTTGGCATGATGCATGGGGACAGCAACATGTGCAATCATCAGGGGGCTGGTAAAATTGATGAAGATAGCATATCTGGGAAAGATAAACATGCTGTAGTCAGCACAATTAGGGCAAAAAGACATCTCTCTAGAGCATTTGGTTTGGGAACTGCTCAGCATACAAAGACAGCAAAACAACACAGGATCTGAAACAACAATCCTGCTTTAGTCCCAGCATAATCAAACCAGAGAGCTACCTTACGCCAAGAGACGGGAAAAGGGGATTTCCTCTCTCCCGGGGAAAAAGAATTTGTACAGGAATGTAAGGGGCATCCAAGGTGCAGTAATTCCATCTGCCATTGGAGATCCAGATTCTGGTATTTGGCATCTGGGGCTAAGCATGGATTTCTTCACACATTTTACATTTAGAACTCCCCTTGAAAACATTTTACAGGTACTCCATAATATTTCCATGTGACATATCCATATCCATACATATGTTTCACAAAAGCCCATTTCCTAGAAAGGCCCAATTTTTAAAATTTCTTTTGTGTGTACCTTTTGTGTGTACCTATGTGCCATTCTGTAATATAGACCTAAGTTGATTTCCGATTAATTCAACTTTATAGAAGTGTAGAATCACTGCTTCAGATGCTTGTCTGCATTGTAAACAGCAACGCAAAAGCATAACACAGGAATGTGTACCTTCTTTCAGCTCGAAAGGTCACCCTAGACTTTCTGCAGCATGTCAGGGCCATTCTTTGAAAATATGAGTATTTAATACTATAAATAGGAGTATATTAGTGCAGTGGTTAGAATGCAGTACTGCAGGCTACTTCTGCTGACTGCCAGCTGCCGGCAGTTCGGCACTCACCACCTCAAGGTTGACTCAGCCTTCCATCCTTACGAGGTAGGTAAAATGAGGACCCAGATTGTTGGGGCAATATGCTGACTCGGTAAACTGCTTAGGGAGGGCTGTAAAGCACTTTGAAGTGGTATCTAAGTCTAAGTGCTATTGCTATTGCTACTGTACTCCTGATATACTTGTTCAATAGAAGCTATTATGCCCTTAGAACAGAAAGTTAGGTGTAAAAAATGGCAAGTTTTGCAGCATTGCATTGTCATCAACAGCCCAACTGTGCTCTAAAACTATACAATACAAAATTAGAACACTCTTTAGTGGGAGGAAGTAGATGACCCATGTAAAAAAATAAGGACAGGGCTCCCATCACAGTCACTATCTTGATTCTTCTGACATGCTCTCCTGCAGGCACTCTTGGTCAATTAATACTGGACAATTTTGAGCAGTATCCTTCCCAATGCATTACAACATGTACTTGCTATTCCTTGACTAACTGTTTACCTCTGTGCTACCCTAACTTGTCAAAAATTAGGGTAGTTTATAAAAATGATTTATATAAGTAGTCTGGATTTTCCCAGCATTTTATAATAAGCAATCAACAGTAGGTGGTTTTGGCTAATTAATCCAATCTACAGCCTTTAAAGAATTGTATAAAATTCAGAGTCGTGACAAGAAATCACCATGAGGACCTAAAGAATAAAATAATAAAACAAGCCTTTTATTGATTCAGTTTGAAACTTTATTAATGAATGAAGTGTTGCACCTAGAGGCAATCCCCAGCATATCCTGAAAACCAACTGATATTGAAATAGTCAGATATTAAGTAGGATTATGGATGCTTTTATATCAGTGTATTCAAAGCTCTGTATGGGCATAATAAAAATAAAAGCAGCATTGTAAGGACACTGGAAAATTTAGGACTAAAGACTGCATTATGCTTAACTTTTTCATCAAAATTGGAAAACAGCCTAGTCTGGAAGAGTCCTTTTTTAATTCAATCCTTGATAAAACGGATCTTTCTGAGGATAATTTTTTATTTTAAGGAGTTTGAATTGTCAGTTGTTTTAAATTTACGCTGGAGAAATAAAGAATAAAAGACTATCATGAGTCCTACACTAAGTTCTATAGCTTTATTATAGCATTTATGTTATTTTTACTTTTGGTTGGGAGCTGCCCACAATTGGTTATAAGATGAGAGGTTATATAAATGTTTTAAGTAAATAAAGTGTAATTAACCGCAAAGCTGGACAAACTTCTGTCAGATTTCTTTTAAACATAGGTGGGCAGCCTGCAGTTGGGAGCTGAAACATGCTCATATGCACGCCCAGCAGTGACACCCATTCCCATTCCCCCTCCCCTTCCCTCCCTCCCTCTCTCTCTTTCTCTCTCTCTTTCATCCCACTCCTTTCAGTAATCTTGAACAGAAATGTGGAAGCAGACAGGAAAATCTGAAGGGTTTCTCTAGGGACCTCCTGAAGGTGGTGGTTATTGGCCTGTGCAACTCCTTTTGTTGATCCAGGGTTACATGCAGCAGCATCCAGGTCAGAGGCTGCCTAAGCATAGAATGCATAGTTCCTGTCATCGTTTTTGATTGATGCTGGACATACCCATCAGTCTGTGATATACAAGCTCAGTCCTCCAAAAAACGCATATGCACCATACACTTGTGTTATGTTTGAAGTGTTTCTTGAGAATTGCATTGATTTCTTTGGCTCATACCATGAAATGTTGAAGCGATGAAAGAATACTTTTTCTCCTTGTGCTTTTTTCTGGAGAACACTGGAGGTCTGTTTCAGATGTCGGCACGTTGTTTTCAAATTGTGCTTTTCATTCTCTTCAACTGAGCATCCTATATTCTATCTCATCTATTATACACTTTATAGGAGATTGTTTTTGATCAGTTCTTGATGGGATCACTCTCCTCTTGAAACGTTTGCAGGCTGGGACTGGATCTGGAAAGTTAGGGCCCACATGATTCTTTCATGTGATTTGTCTGATATCTCAGCTATAACCTCTTGCAAATAGGCATAGTCTGGTTATGCTTATCTTTAGGGCTGTTTCTGGAACTTGCAGCTGGTGTAAAATTCAAATGCCAGACTTTATCCTTTTTCCTAGCTATAGATTTCTGGTCCAGAACACTTTTTCTTGTGGCCTCCCTTCATACCAATGAAGGGAGAGGTTTGAATTGATTTTATTTGAGGTATAAAGTAGCCACTGAGTATTTTCTTCTCTTGTCATGAATGATGGAAATATCCTTCCTGTTCACTGCACCATAGGCGCATTGTAAGAGGCTTCTCCTTCAGCAACGGGTTGCTGGATTATCATGTGGTCACCTGATTATGTGAAAGGCATGAAAGTGATGTTAAGTTAGATTAAGTGTGTAACTTTGCTCCTACTTCTCCAGTCTTCTCACATTCATGTCAAGCAGAGCTGTTCATAAAGTTCTGATCACCAAAAAGTGTAATTATTTTGGTATTCTAAGACAGTTCCCCAACCTTTCCAGGTTGGGGCGGGCGGGAGAAGGTTTTCACAAGAGCATCCGGCAAGCATGCATGTATGTGCAGCTCACACAAATGGAGCATGCACACACTCACCTGCCACTTCCACAACCCAATTCCAAACAGTTGGGGAGCCCTATTCTAGAAAGCCCTGGAGAAAAACCCAGGGTATTTTAATAATTCAAGAAAAGAGAAGTGAAGGTCCCCATTCCTGATCGCCTTGCAGGCTGAATAAATATAGCACTCTTCCTGCTATAGTGCTATGGGTGTTTAAGAGGAAGCAAGGCCCTGGCTAGACTTGACTTGATATTTGCATTTGTGCCATCATAGATTCTGTTGGGAGTAAATTATCCACATTTGTCCACAATAGTAGCAGAGGCAGATTTCTTATACATCAAGGGTCTTCAAACTTGGCAAGTTTAAGACTTGTGGACTTCAACTCCCAGAATTCCTGAGCTAACATGACTGGAGGAGGAATTCTGGGATTTGAAATCCACAAGTCTTAAAGCTGTCAAGTTTGAAGACCCCTGCTATACATCTTACATTCTTCACTGTTTGTTCGAGTGCCTTTTTTAAAGTGCTACTGTTTGCCTTTTAAAGCAGCAAATGGCTTAGGATTTAAATCTTTAAAGGAGTATCTTCCTGCATGCCTGCTAAACATCTTTGGCCAGTGGCCTTCCCTTTTCCTTCCATTTCAAGGAATGTCCTGATGCCACGTTTACACACAAAGCAACCCAACTTAAAAAAAAAAAACCCTTACCTGTGCTATTTTAAATCATTTGTATCAGCTTTCGTCCTTTACAGTTTGACTTTGCAGAACCTAGCTCTTGTTTGTACTTAATATTTGTTCCTTAAGTTTTGTTAACGAATATGCACAATAAAAAGCCGCATCAATTTTTGAGAGCAAAATGGGTTTTAAGAAAGTCAGAGAGAGAAATAAAATGGCTGTCGAACACCCAGGCGGAAAATGTGCCTTCAATACAATGAGGAATATCTGTTCAGGTTTTCAACCGATTGGCCAGCTTTATGGCACTTGTCTCTTCATGCAAGTATATCTCAGTGCAGGTCCTCTTAAGCTGACCAGGAATGCTCCCTTCTCTCACACAATAGCACCTGTTAGCTAATCTATGGGTGACTGAGGATTTCTGGTAAAGCCAGTCCATCGTACTTAAAATGTTTTATATCTTACAGGAACTTCTGACAGACTTGAAAGAAGAACTTGATAAGGATGAATGCAAGCAGGAGCCTGAAGTTATTTATGAGACCAACTGTCACTGGGAAGGTTGTACAAAGGAGTATGATACGCAGGAGCAGCTGGTCCACGTAAGTGTTCTTAGAAAAGAGACCTAAGCACTTGGATTGAGGATTTAGCCTCCCATCGTGTCATGTGAGTTGCACAGCCAATACTCAAACTACAAAGCTTTAAAAATGATCCAGCTGGGCATAAGTAAACCTTGCCAAATGAAGTTAAATGTTCAGGAGAATGCAGCTGCAGGAAAGTCTTGGATAGTTTTCCATTTTTCTCAGCAGCCAGCATGAAAGAATAACTGTTGCCCCACACAGCCTTCTGGGATCAATACTGATCTGTTGCTGGACTTTATTGTAATCTGAAAACCTTGGTGGACTAATTACTGAGGATCCAGTCTTGTGTTGATTGTGCAATGAAGAGATGCACTGAAGAGACAAGCAGGACTACTTCTACTTGACACTCTATTCTCCTGGCACTCACAGTCATGTTCGCTTCCTTGTCCTGCCTAACATGTGAGCATGACCCAAGAGTCGTTATGATGGTCAAATCAAAGGTGATTTGAATCATGATACCATGACCCACACAAAGTAATTATATGTTACAAAATGACACCTGAGGCAGAGCTGATGCCATGATGCTTGGATTGTCATTTGCTCCCACCTTGTAGGTACTTATCTCTATTCACTCCTCCTCCTTCCTTCATAACAATACATACAAGCCAATTGTTTACTTCTGCTTTTGATTCTCAGCAAACCAGTTCATCATTGTTTGTGCAAATGGGTTTTTCCTATTCAAATGCAATACTGTTCGCCCAGAATTGCCCAAAACTGTTCATGTAAACAACTTCTGATAGGCAAAGAGTGTCATGCCATGGCTTGCCATTATGCTCATTATTTTTCATCAAAGAAATTACAAAGAAGTCGCAAGATAATTCTACTCTAAAAGAATGTTGTTCTAAATTCTACAGAGAAAAGGAAAGGGCTTTTTTTTTAGCCTATCTAAAATAAAAGGAGTTTTGCAGAACTCTGAAAAGTAAAAGTCAATTGAAGTATAATCAGGAGAGCCCTGAGCCAGGGAAGACATGCTGCTGCAAAGTATTAGACAGGAATGCATATGAAGAATTTAGAAAGATAACATGAGAGTGTGTGCTGTGTGCAGTTATTAAGGAAAGTGTTGCTTTCACATGAGTGCTTCTCCTCTAAAGTATCCAGGCTCGTCTGAGTTGTGTGCCTCTAGGGATGCAGCACACATGTTAAATCTCAGTGTTAAATGGAAAAGAAATCCAGATTCTAAGAAGCCCTTCAGGTACTGCCTTTTAAGACTTTATATCTAGAAACAATTCTATGGCTGCGAAATGGTTTGTTTCATATTTTTTTTGAGATACGGATAATTATATGTAATTATATTTTTCCTAAAATGTAGTAATAAAATCAACCTTAATACAAGATTTAATATTTCAATTTAACTCCTTAGCAGTTTAATATTTGAGTAAAATTAGATTTATCAGGTTTGGGCTACAAGAACCCAGAAAAATTACTAGATGCCAGAAAAGTTATGTGAGTCTCTAGTGATGGCCTGTACTTTTGCAACCTTAGAACTGGGGTCCCCTGAAATCTTATAGATCTGAGGATACTTTATATTGAAAAATACAGAAACACAGGATTTGTCCTTCTGCCATCCACTTATCCTGTTACAGGCGATTTAGGATTTTTTTTTTTCAACAACTGTTTAATCTGGGATCATTTTCAACAATGCATCGCTAGGTGGAGGCTGCTGACAGACAGAGGTAATGTCAGTTCACAAAATGGAGCTGGTCTTACTGCCTAGTCCAGGGCTATCAAACTCGCGGGCCAGATGCATCACACGCTGACTATGCCCACACCTGGTTTAGCGAAGGCGGGGAAAGTCACAATATATCACATGACAGTGCCGTAACAATGCGATTTTGACACCCCTGGCCTAGTCCCAGATCTCCACACTCTGTAGTAGCAGATACCTTTGGGGTTCTAAGCATTCAGTCAGGTCAATTTCATTGTGCGACTGTCACCACAGAAGACCAACCCTTTGTATGGCTGAATTACATGGCACCCACATATGATTCTGCAGTACACTCCTTATACCCTTATCTCCTTCCTTTTTTTTCTTAATAGCTGTATGCACATTACACATTTTCCACTTAGATACTTCATTATTTGTCATGAATTTTTCTGAAGCAACCTTAGAATTCTGTTTGATGTGAGTGCGAGAAATCTCAGGCAATACCCCATCCAAAAACCTACAGATCTCTTGAAGCAGTAAAATGCCTATTAAACCAACATATGTTGGCCAGAGTTGTTATATGGGCAAAACCTAGTAGCCCAAAGAAGATGTTCTTATAGATCTAAGGGAATGAGCAAGCGAGCAACATCAAATAAGAACTGCCCTATTATCACAATAAGGAAGAATCACAGTTTTTTTATGCTATAGATTTAAATTATTCCTTCTGGGCTTTCGTATTAGCAATGCTCTGTTTAGACCTCATTTTGGGAACATGTTAACCCTTACTTTCTTTATGTTGATGCAAAAACGAACTTGTAATACAACTGAAATTTGCTCAAAGCTGTCTGCAATCTGAAAATGTCCTTAAATTGCATTCTACAAATACACAGAGCAAAAGAAGCTTGTTCCTGCACGTTGCCTGAATGACAAGTCCTGAAAAAAATAACAAACTGCTTCAAAGCTGTTGTTGGAACAGTAGGCTATAAATGTAGCAAACTGACCTAAATAACTGGCGATTGTATATTTCACTTGAAAAGAGTTTGAACCAGAACAGTATTAAAATTAAGGAATTCTTATGCTCTAAATGTTTCTCTGACCAGGTTTTATTGTCGCTGTGGATCGTGAAGACAACACGTGTATGAATCCATAACAAAGCATCTGGAGGGCAGAAGGATTTCCCCAATTAAACATGTATATTGATATATTCTGAACTATCTGATACTGCCTTTTGAAGCCAAACCTCCTCTGAGCAAATTGCAGGGTGAAGTTTAAAATAGAACATTTTTTTTCTTTCTTTCTTTTTTCTTTTTTTTGGAGGCCTTCAAATCAGTGTTCACTCCTGGCAAATGCCTGGGTCAGTCAGCCCCTGAAGTTTTCTCGTCAAGGTTTTTCAGAAGTGAAAAAAAAGAAGTACTGGTGTAAGGTCACCCCACTGGCTTTGTGCCTACAGTGGGACTAGACTCATGGTCTCCCAGTTTCTAGCCTGATGCCTTAAGGCACTACAACAAGCTGGTTCTCAAAAGCGAAAAATTGCAGGGATTTCTCCAGGCATTCATCAGGAGTCAACATTGACTGAAGGCACCCAAAAGAAAAAGACATAAATGACACTTAACTAAGCCCATTAACCAGAACAACTGCATGAATAATACAGTGACAGGATTCAATTCATCTAAGGGCAATCCAGAACACTCAGGAAACCTGTCAAGGAGAGCCTGGAGCACAATAAGATGTCCTTCCATCTTCCTGGCAGAAGTGACTTGGGGATGCCGAGCCTCTCGTTTCACAGTCCAGCTTCTTCTTCTTGTCTTTCAGCACATCAACAATGATCATATTCATGGGGAGAAGAAGGAGTTTGTTTGTCGCTGGCAGGAATGTACCCGGGAACAGAAGCCTTTCAAAGCACAATACATGCTAGTGGTGCACATGCGAAGGCATACTGGAGAAAAACCCCACAAGTGCACGGTAAGAGAGTGTCACTGCGGAAGTGTGCTCAGCCTGAGGCGTTGGCAAACAAGCTACTGCAGGCATGTGCCTCTCAACTTCCCTATCTAACACAAGCAGATCAGGGGTGTGTTGTAATCTGGAGCAGATCAAACATGTAAACTCCTCTGCCATAGCACTGAGAGAATGAGAGGAAGACCCTTTCAGTGGCAGGGAAGGGAAAGAGGATCTCTCTCTCTCTCATTTGGATCTGATTGGAGGGAAGGTCTCTGTTACCTCAAGGTAGAGAAAAACCCAGGATTTCTTTGAGAGGTGGGGTCTGGTGCAGAAGGAGGGGAAGAAAAGATGTTTGACAGATGATTAAGATAACCCCACACTCTGATCCCAAGTGTCTCCAATACTACAATCCCCCACGTGTGGCCAACAGCACAGAGCAGGTTTCAGTATATGAAGAATAGCCCTGCATTTTTTACTCTCTATACACTTGTGCTTATTAAGTATATAATATCCAGCAAATGTCCGCTGCATATCCAGCAAAAGAGCAAAAACTGCTCCCAATCAGGAGGAGACTTTATGCTGTGTGCCACTGTCTCCTGCAGATTAGCAAAACAGAGATTTCACAAAGAGAGCAACTGGATTGCTTGAATTGCAAAAAGGACCTTGCTTCACAAACACATCCAGTGAGCAAGGCTCCTATTTTCCTCCTTTCACTGGTCTCCTGTTAAATTAATTAGGTCTGATTCATGTCACCCATTTAGATGTGCTCTTTATATGAAACACCACAAAGCAATTTGATAACCCCAATGGTTAAAGCAATGTCTTCTGCATCTAGGGATGGTAGCATCTAGCCAGCTGTGACTCTATTTGCACTTTTAACTTAAGAGCAAAAGACCTCTTTCCACACACAGCCATAATCTACATTAAAAACTCATTTAGTGAAGAAGTGTTCGGGTTCATTGTGTAACATGTCTCAGCCTGCCCTTGTTGTTTAAAAGTCAACTGAGATAAGGAATAGGATATCAAACAGAAGGCCAGGTTACAGCATTCCGCTTGCATCCTTATTCAGTGTAAAGAATTGGATGGAAGACAATCCCATCGAATACTGAGATCCGGGCATACAAATAGGAAACAGGATTGGCCAGCTGCCCTGCTCAAATATGGAAGTTTGTATTCAGAATTGCAATGTGTTGGTTAAAGGTTTTAGTGACTTGCTTAGTTTAGTGACTTATCTAGATCTCTGAAGTCCAGACCTGCAGCCCAGTTCTAAACATAGACTGTAACAGGAATGCTCCTTGCATGAAAATTGTGCATGAAGAGAGCCCCAATGAGTGGGCTGGTCTTAAAAGTACAAGCACCTGCTTTCCATCAGTTGCCCAGATTACAAATTGCATTAAAAAAAAGAACAGGGGGGAGGACCTTTTCTGTCTCAGACGCCTCATGAAAGCTAAGATCTGCCTGGGATTTATTCTCTTCAAGAGAGATTAAAACCAGATGAGATGGAAAAATGCCTCCAGCTGATTAACACTCCAATTTTCTTTTCTCTCTTTTTTTAGTTTGAAGGTTGCTCCAAAGCCTATTCACGGCTAGAGAACTTAAAGACACACCTGAGGTCACACACAGGAGAAAAACCTTATGTCTGTGAACACGAGGGATGCAATAAGGCCTTTTCCAATGCTTCTGATCGAGCAAAACACCAGAACAGAACACATTCCAACGAGGTAGGGAATGTCCTTCACCCCCAAAAATATTTTTTTTAATGTTGATAATAATATGCAGCAATTTGTATTATAATCATGCCATAGTGACTTTTTCATATTTATTGTGCTGGAAGGGGAGATGATGCTAGTTTAATACCCACACATGTTCTCATACAAATTGGCCCAGATTGAGGTATTCCTCCTGCTCAATTTTAGTTGGCATATTTGAGAAATAAATTCACCAAGCTTGCCTGTCTGAGTGCCTAAAACTAAATGAAACGGATGGCCTTGGGAGTGTGTAGGGGCTGCCCCACAAGACAAATGTTGTGTAGTCCTCTTTGCTAATTAAGATCCATTATTAGTAACTGGGGAAGGTCAGGAAATTGCATTTATTGTAACAACATGTGATGGTCTGCTGCAAATGGCTAATGCTGAGGTTGAAACTTATATTACCACTAATTAAGCAAAGGACAGTAAGGGGAAATGCTCCAGAGTTCTGAAAAACCGCTGGGACTGGGTAACATTAATTTATAATCTAATCATAGGTATACTTTATCATGAACAAGTAGAACAATCTAAACACAAGGTTTTAAAAGTGATATTGGATTCAAAAACTTGGGGATCATTGTCAGTGATGGACCCTTGTGCTTTTTGAAGCTCTTTTGCCACCTCACCGCTTCCTTTTGAACAAATATTTTTCTTAACAAATCTCATGTTTGTTAATGTATGGCTGGAAGGCAAAAAAAACCTGTGTTGGTGGCAGAAGGTTAGCAATGGTAAGAAGTAGAGCCATTGAAACCCTTGATCATCAAGTAAGGGAAATTTTTCTCCCTAAGAAAAGGGAGGTGTGGGCAGAAAATTAAGATAAGCCAAAGTTGTAGTTGCACCCAAAGTAGACCAATGAGTCGAAGTATTCTAGTCTGCTCAAGAACAGCTCACACCTAGCTAGGTAGATTCACCAAGAAGGCAATTCATGCTCCAGATGGGATTATTATAAAACTCTCAATTCTTTCTCTTTTCCTCTCTCTCTCTCTCTCTCTCTCCCTCTCTCCCTCCCTCCCTCCCCGCTCCCCCCTGCTCTCTCTCTCCTGAGGCTTTTATGTTTCTCTTTCCTCAAAGGCAAAAATGGTAGAAGCTTTAAATGGACCTTTTTTTGAGCAGATCTAAATTGTATACTTTCCTCCCTAAGGAAACAATGCTTGGCTTCTCGTTATTATCTCTTTGGGCACTTAGCAAAGGACACATTGTTTAAAAAAGTTGCTAATTTGAGGTTAATTTCTACTTGTTGCGTGGAAAAAATGAAACTGTAATGTTATTGGGTTTATTTGTACATCCCTCTGCATGTCCATCAAATGAGAGGGAAAAAATGTCAACAATGGAATCAATTCAGGGGCTTTGTGAGAGGAGAAAGATAAAACTTTCCAGGTGGCTTTTAGAGAACTGATCACAATAAAATAGGAATATACTTAATAAAGGAACTTCTAATCCATTTTGGAATAGTCTTAGCCATCTTTTATATTCTGATAAATGGGATCTGCTACCCGAATTCAATCTTAAACATTTTTGCTCAAAGTACCCTTTCTATTTTCAGTTGATTTAATTATTTTAAAAAATTAAATGTTTTTAATAATCATATTTAATCATAAAAATTATTTCACATTTTTAAACTACCCATCCTCTCTTAGAGAGACTAGTGTGCCTAGATTCTATCTATAATCTTATCAGGGACTGCATAAGGGCCACTGAATGAATATAAGGTACTCTTCTTACCTGGGAAACTAGATTGTTTCCATCCTTCTAGTCTTACCCATCCATCTTAGAAAGGGGTGAATTAACCAGTGAGATTTTACATTTCGTGTATGTGGAAAGCAATATCTAAATCAGAATTAGGGAAAGTAGAAAAAGTATTTTGCTCTAAAGCTGAGCAGCAAACTAGCATTCTTTGGATGGTCTCCTTTTAAGATCTAATGGAAAAAGTCTTTAAGCTGCCTGAAGCAGAATCCAGCCTTTCAGAAGGAGCTACTGGAATATATGAATCCAGCCTTTCAGAAGGAGCTAGGAGAATTATCTTGCTGAAAGCAGATTTGAAGAAATGCATTTGGGTTGGAGGGGGAACGACTGTCTCTTTTCTGCTTGTTTGCTTGCTTCTCTCTCCAACTGTAGAGCTTAACACTGTTTATTTGTGCTGTAGTTATCAGTGGCTCAAATTTTCAAAGTGATCGTATCATCTTCAAAAATCACTGTGGGGCTTTGGATTTCACTCCACAGCATAAACAGCTACCCATTTGACAGCGGATGGAGATGTGAAGGAGATCTGATGGGCTATAAACCCAGTTCAGATCGACGCCTAGTTTTCTGTAGAATATGCTGTCTCTCTCCCTCCCATCAACCACCCAAGCCAATTATATTTCAAAAGAAAAGTTTCCCAAAAAAGATTTCTTGCATGTCCTAGTCACATCTCATGCTAATCTTACTAATGCAATAATGTGAGCAAATGGAAATCACTCCAATGCAATTATTGAGCCAAGTGTTAAAATGCTTTGATTGGGACCCTGTGACAATTCCCAATTTCTCATTTTCAGCTTGGAGTTTGCACACACAGGATTCTTACACTGAAATCATCCTGTCATTGATTATGAATAGCTAAGAAGAAGATTATGAGTAAGATTATGAGCAGATCCGAAGGAAGGCCACGTCGAGATTGTTTGCAAACCAAGCAAATCTGACAAAGCAAGCTATCTACTCCTAATGTGTTCCTCCTTCAGCAATCCCAGATTGTAAAACTAGACTTCTGTCTGAGTAGTGATAGTATCTATGATAAGTTCACAAATTGCTACCGGTATATATTTAAAATATATCAGCCCCATGTCACAAAATAACAAAATTGGAAGAGACCTTGGAGGTCTTCTAGTCCAACCCCCCTGCTCAGGCAGGAAATCCTATACCCTGTCACACAAATATTGTCTAATCTCTTCTTAAAAACCTCCAGTGTTGGAGCACCCAGAACTTTTGGAGGCAAGTCCTTCCACTCATTAATTGTTCTAACTGTCCGGAAATTTCTCCTTATTTCTAGGTTGGTGTTCTCCTTGATTCGTTTCCAACCATTGCTTCTTGTCCTGCTTTCAGGTGCCTTGGAGGATAGGTTGACCCCCTCTTCTCTGTGGTACCTGTGCTTTTGGTTTTCCTTGCCTAAATGTAAAAAAAAATTACCTTTCTCACATACTTTTCTTACCTTTCTTATCTTCTCACCATTTTCTCTCCACAAAACTGCTACTAAACCACATATCTCAGCTGTTTGATTCTCAGTTTGTTGGGTCGCTTCAGCTTTGCTATTTTTGGCAGAAACCCTATGTCTGCAAGATCCCGGGCTGCACCAAGAGATACACAGACCCCAGTTCTCTCAGGAAACACGTGAAGACAGTGCATGGACCGGAAGCCCACGTCACCAAAAAGCAACGCAATGACATTCATCTGAGGCCACCTGTCCTTAAGGAAAACAATGACAATGAAGCAAGTGCCAAGCAGAGCAGCCGGTCTACTGAAGAGCGGGCTGAGGCAAACAGCACCACCACAGGCACAGAGGACAGTTTACAAGTCAAAACGATAAAGACAGAGAAGTCTGTGGTAAGAGAAGCATTTGCTTTAGTTGACTTATTGACAGTACTGTATAATGTGTAGCAAATAGATATTAACTCCACCCCCAAACACACAGGTGTACAATCTTTTCAGATCTCCCAGTTTAGATTTGCCTTAGCCCACTCCCAATTTTTTCAGCATCCTTTTGCATGTCAGATTTAAGACTCCGTACATCCACAGACATGTATAATAGATATTTTCCTGCATAAGCCAAACAAAAGATGAAAAATTAACATTTGGAGTTTCTCTCTGAGAATGGGAAACCTGTTTGTCCTGACGAGCAAAACAGCAGGCTAGTTTTTACATTACACTGTGATTAAAATGTGAAAGGATTCCCAGGAGCAAATCCATGAAATACAATTGTCCACCCTCAGAGAGATAATATTTTGAATTTTAATAGCACATAAAGCTACAATTTCCAGAGTGGTAACTGTATTAGTGTTTTCTACAAAGACTTTATTTTTCGGATGTCAATGTTCTAAGCAAAACCATAATTATGCTCTATCCTAGTATTGTCCATTTAATTCTCCAAACTATTAAGAAAAGACTGTTTAAAGACTCAGTGTGAGAAGCTCCAAACTGTAGATTTCTATGACCCATCCTTGACACAGTCCCCAAATTATACCCTCTCTAAATATCCTAGCAAAACTGGGATAGAACTTTCCTACTCCTGTGACCACTCGCCTCAGCATTTGTTCCACTTTTCTGCCTTTCCTCAATTGCTCCTCTTTAGTTGCAGTGACACAGGCAGGCATACTAACTTGGGAATTTCAGCATGAGGCCAAGAACATTCTCGAATGAGAAGATGAGATGAAAAGAAGCTTGTCTATTGTGTTCTTCATCTTAATTTTGACTAGAAATCAGTGGAGCTTCTCTCTAGCAAGAAAGATGGAGAAAAGGACATATTGCTTTAAATACTAAATAAAAATTCTTCTTCCCAACAGAAGAAGCCCATATTTATATGTGAATGAATGTGTGTGTGGCCTGGTCTGGCTTTATTCATCTGGCTAAAATATGGGCCATGGCATGTTCTTTCCAAAATAATCAAAAGTAAATAAAACTCAATCACTGTTTTTTAAAAACAACATTGACATTTATTACCTGGGACTAATAATATTGACAAATATTTAAACCATTTGATGCAATGTATTCTGCAGAATACATTGATTTTACATGACCAAATGACAGGTGGTGAGGTTGAGAAAAACTTACCTAAATTCATTGCAGATATGATTTAGCAGATAGGTCAGTGCTGTGATATACCAGAAAGTGCACTTGAATTAAATATAAAACCAGGATACGTTGAACAGATATCCCTAAGAAAATGTCAACCACAAATATGAAGTACATTACTGATATTTAAATAAGACATACATTTTTAATGGTAGTGATAATATAGAGAGCTACATTTCACATTCTGTATATTTGAGTGTTAAAAAATATATTTCAGCTCACTTCAGGACATCTGGGTGAAGGAGTGAAATTATTTCTGGAATTGGATACTCTGAAAATACTTATTTTCTGATCCCCCATGATGAGACATCAGTACTGATTGTGTATCAAGACATATTGTCACATTTGGATCCTGTAAAGTGCTATATAAATTGATGGTAGTGTAAAAACAGATTATAAATGTGATGTTACAGACATTTGAGCAGTTTTTATCTGTACCGCGGCTGTTGCTAATCTGCCATTATTATTTTTTTGCCTCATGTCTTGTTCCATCAATAACCTCAACCCTTCCCTTTTGTGTTGTCTGCGTTCTAACAACCTGTTCTTTCTCCTCTCTTAACTTTTTCTACTCAACTTCACAAGGACAGTCGGTACTAAGGTGAGCAAATACCCTGTCTTTGTCAAAGTCTCTTACAAAAGACATAGTGTGCTTTGTCCTGTGTATGTGGCTAAGCAAACCAGCTGTGTGGTTGATCTCTGTAGATTTCCTGCAGGAGCTATGATGGCCTATGGTTAAGTATCTGTTACAGTGGTCTCCAATTCTTTCTCTCTCATCCTTTCTATCTTTGGCATTCCACAAGTAAGCTAACTATCCTATTGAGAACCCCCATGATAAAATTCATTAGACAAATCCTCCCTGGTCCAAAATTTATGGGGGTGTGGTAATTCCTCAATTGAGGACATCGTGTGGAACAGACAAGCGATTCTCTTTTGAATGAAATTTTCAGCTTAGGATACACTATGGTGTGAAATATGTCTTCCAGCAAAACTAAGTACAGGTAGATCTTGAGGCCAAAATTTCTGTTGCTAAGTGAAACAGTTAAGTGAGTTTTGCCTCATTTCACAACCTTTCTTGCCACCGTTGTTAAGTAAATCACTGCAGTTGTTCAATTGGTAACATGGTTGTTAAGTGAATCCTGCTTCCCCATTGACTTTCCTAGTCAGAAGATTGCTAAAGGTCATGATCCCAGTACACTGCAACCATCATAAATATGGACCACTTGCCAAGTGTCTGAATTTTGATGGTGTGTGACCACGGGGATGCTACGACATAAGTGTGAAAAACAGTCATGTCACTTTTTTCAAAATATACTGTAACTTTGAACGACCACTGAATGAACTGTTACAAGTTGAGAACTCTGTATAGTGCCACCTACCATTTATATAGGATATTTTAAGAAGTGGCAGAAATATTATTCTATTACTGTGTTCATTTTAGCCAAGTCCCTCTTATAACAACATTATGTTGTTGAGCCACAGTGGCACAGTGGTAGAGTGCAGTACTGCAGGCCACTTCTGCTGACTGCTGGCTGACTGAAATTTGGCAGTTCAAATCTTAGCAGGCCCAAAGTTGACTCAGCCTTCCATCCTTCCGAGGTCAGTAAACTGAGGACCCAGATTGTTGGGAGCAATATGCTGATTCTGTATAGCATTGGGTCTCTTTGGTTATGAATTACATTGCCAGCATCCTCTTGCTAGAACATTTTACCTTTTTCCTGTCCATTTACAAATAATCTTTGTTCATAAGAAAATCCACTTTGATAAATAAAGCATAGTAGACAGAACTGGCTGTTTAGTCCTCAGGAACAAATATTGTGCTAAAAAAAGAGAAAAGTCAATTCAACTCAGGGGTTACCTAGCATTCCCAGTCTATAGCCATAGAAGGCCAGCAATCATAAATCACAATGCCATGGGTCAGACAGCAAAAGAAAACGAAACAGCCTTCCTTTGAGGGAGCCAACACAGGACATTTAACTTTTACTGCAGATAAATTACTTAATGTGAAATGTAATTCCTAATAAAAAACATTTACCAAACCCAAGCCTGCAAATCATGCCCTTATCTGCTTATAAAGACTGTGTCAGCCAAGCATGCTGCTCGCCTTTGAAGCAAAAGGCATATATGGTGCCTAAAGCATTTCAGGTTTGATTCTGCCACAGATAAACAGGCACATTGTAGAAGGGGAAATCTACTCAGGTTCCAGGTTTATCTGACAGTGGCATCAAGAGCTTAACTTTTCTTGAGAGAGCACATATAATTCTTTGCTAACAAAAAGAAAGAAAAAAGAAAATCCGCCTCTTTGGCTTTTAGCTCCCTGCTGTTTACATACCACTGCTTTAAGAAGTCATAAAAATTAAGTAAATCATTTCAGTGGCTTATCTGATGGAAAATCCTGTATCCACACTACAGTGCCATCACACTTGCCGGCAATAATAGGCACATTGGCTTATCAGGTAATGAGGATTTGTTTACCTAAAGAACAGATCTGGCTTAAATTAAAATTGCAATGGACTTGCATACTCTTAATTCACCAAATTTCAGCACTGAAGGGTAGACTTAAATTTTTCTACAGTTCTCCCTCTCATGCTAATTTAAATCTGAGAATATTTAATACGATACCTAAGCTTAAGTCAAAATATTTTTGTTTATTCAAATTTGCTATAGCCGCCAAACTCCAGTGGAATTTGGGCAGCTTATATATAGGGCCAAAAACTGTATTAAAAAAAAATAAAACCACACGGACAGCCCAGACTAAAACAGTCTTAAACACAGATCAATACAAAACAATCTCTCTCTCTCTCTCTCTCACACACACACACACACACACACACACACACAAATACACTAATCTCAGGCCTGAGATCAAAACAAGGTTTGAAGAACACAATCTGAACTTTCAGAAAGAAAAATTAAAACTTTCTAGGATAAACAACATAACTCTGAAGATAGTATGCCCCAATAAGCACTGTAAAGCTTTCTGATTTTTTTTCTTCTTTGTCTGCAGGAAAATTCTTTAATCAGTTAAATCGCTTCTTTTTTTAAAAAAACTTATATGGTTTAGTTAAGAAAGTCCTCCCCCTACCCCTTCCCAGTAAGATTTATTTTCTTGGGCCCTGAAAGCATCTAGAATTTATAGCTAATTTCTGACATGTTCAGATAGAGACCAGAAATATTTCAATTTCCTCAATGCTATTTTCCCCCTTATTTTCATTTATCCACACTGCAGTTTAACTTAAGGGGGTATTAATTCATGGGATTTTGTCAACACATCCCAGTTCAATATATTTTGTGATGATGTTGTGGAAGAACAACTCAATCATCTGGGTCATCGCAGCCAATCAGATTAAATATCATATGGGAAAATGAGGCAGAGAAGAATACAAAGAAGTCAGAAAAAAAAATGAAAAACAAACATGTGCCAAGATATGAAGGATGTCAGAACATTCCAAATGTTTAGCAGAATAGTATATTTCCTAGGAATTCATTTGGTTGTCTTGTTTGTGTTAATTTTTCAGTGGATTATGAACTGAAGCCACTCTGAATACAGCCTTAGTTTATAGAGCTATCTAAGAACACTAGGGGAAAAAATCTTGGAATGTCTTCAATAGGTGGTGTTTTTCTTTGCTTCTTTAAGATGTATCAGTCCAGTCCTGGTGGCCAATCATCATGCAGCAGTGAACCATCACCCCTTGGGAGCATCAACAACAATGACAGTGGAGTGGAAATGAACATGCACAGTGGGGGAAGTCTGGGGGACCTGACTGTGTTGGAGGATAATACTCCTGTTGTGGACTCGACAGTTTCATCTGGCAACTCAACTGTTGGTCTTCAACTAAGGAAAAACATGACAGCAATGCAACGCCTTGAGCAGCTCAAGAAAGAGAAACTCAGGACAGTGAAGGATTCTTGCTCATGGGCAAATCCAGCACCACAAGTCAAAAACAGCAAACTGCCTCCCATCCCAGGCAACGGTAAGTCAACCAACTATTTGATATCTATCCAACAATGTTTCTGAATATCTTTTCTCTGCTTAAAACTGTTTTGGACGCTCCTCTGGGATTCAAACCTATGAGTGAAATAGGCGCATGAACGCCCTTTCCCTTGTCTCTGCTCCTGTATCACATTGCCGTCTTGCTTTTGGGTGTTTCTGAACTGTAATGTCCACCAGGGCATGAGACAGAAACTCAAGAGTATACGCCAACTTGAAAGAGCACGCACTCCAAATTTTACCTAGACAAAATAGATATTCTATTCCAATGTTCAATAGTCCAAGCTTTTCTGCCCTCTTGAAAAGTGATGTGCAGGTTCATACTTGAAACAGAAAATGGGGGTGTGCACCAGCATCTCTTGTGATGTCTCAACCTTGAAAGAGATAACATCTTGCATTACGCTTGAAGGTTTCTTGACTTGCAGAAAAGGAACAAGGATATTGGGATGGTAGCCAGTTTTGAAATATAAAATTATGATTAGAACAGATGTACATTTTTGGGCTGTCTAATTTATGTACAATAAAATTCCTAACACTTATAAAGCAAAAAAAATATCAATTCAAGTTAGCCCAGTTAACCCATTCAAAATATGTACAGGTAGTCCTCACTTAACAACTTTTTGCTTAGTGATTGTGTTGCTTAGTGAAGTTATGACACCCCCCCTCTCCCCCCAAAAAACTTTTTATGACCTGGTGCAGAGTCACATGACTGCATTTCGGGCTTTTGACAAACAGTTCACCTTAAGAGCCAGTTGCAGTGTTCCATGATCATGTGACTGTGATACCTGCCCTTTTTTATATGGTGTCTGGCAAAAAAAATACCTATAAACATACATGGATTCACTTAACTATGGCATTCATTTAATGACTGCCACAAAAAAGTCATCAAATCAGACCTTGTTATGTGGGTGCCTTGACTTATGACCATTTTGACTTGCAACAGAAATTCCAGGCTCCATTATTGTCATAAATTGAAGACTACTTGCACAGTAATATAAATGACTAATATACCATGATTCCCCGAAAATACAGCTTACCCCCAAAACAAGCCCTAGCCTGATGTTCACGCCTCTGCCTAATATAAGCCCTACCCAAAAAATAAACCCTAGTTAAGCCCCGTCCACCATCTGGTTGTACAAGATGGAGTGCAATGGTTCAACGTGCCACGCAGCTCCTGCCGCCAGCAGCACCACCTGCACAACAAGCCACACAGCATATGGCTGCAAGCAGCCTCAGAAGCAGTCGGGCAGCGGCACGACAGATGTCAGGGCATGGGAGGCCTGGCTGTGGTGGTCCTAAGGAAAGCAGGTAAGACATCCCCTGAAAATAAGGCCGGGTGCTTATTTTGGGGGAAACACAGTAGAAGTTTTCTAGGTCAGCAAGGGCAGAATGAAGCCTGCCTTACAAAGTTTCATCTTCTCAGTCTTACCCTGCCATCTTGAACAAATATTTTCTGATCTCAGTCCATCACTCTTAGATTCAGATGGAAAATTAAAAAGACATAAAGATGGCATAGATTTTTTTTTTAATTGGGGCATTCTTTGTTTGTGCCCTATATTTACAGGCACCAAAATAGCAGCTCACTGGAGTAGTATGGTCATAAGAGGTGTAGACGAATAATACCATAATTTCAGTAAATAAATTAAATGCCTTTTCCTATATGCCTCATATTCATGGTCTTCATGGTTAATCAATTGTACCAGTTCAAACAACCTCATGTGTCCATAACTTTTTTTTTAATTCTGGCACTCTCTTTCTAAAAATATTATAACTGAAACTGTTCCTTTGTTAATTCAATTAATCCAAAGCAGTCAGTTCTATTACTGATTGTCATTGCTGTCTTTCCTGATCTTCTGTGTTTTGTGCTGTATGAGAATGGAATGGAATGGAACGAAACGGAACGGAACGGAACAGAACAGAATGGAATGGAATGGAATGGAATAGAATGGAATTCTTTATTGGCCAAGTGTGGTTGGACACACAAGGAATTTGTCTCCAGTGGATAAGCTCTCCGTGTACACACAAGCAACAAGTGATAAATCATGATCATAAAATACAATCATCATAAATCATAAGATGCAACACTCAGTAATAGTCACAGGATACTAAATAAAAGCAGTCTACATAAATTGTAAGAGACAATGTGAACAAACAATAGTTTTCTTTGCCCAATTTTGTTGGAAGTGGTGTGGAAGACAACAATGGCTCTTCCAGACCACTTTCCATTTTCTAACCTGCTTTATCTATATGTGTGAGCTGGATAAGTATTCAACATGACGGTGATCATATTGTTTGTATCCAAGTACAATAATGGGATCCCGTTCTTTTTAATCACTGAGCAATGCTCTTACTCTCTCTCTTTCTCTCTCTTTTTCTTTCAGGTTGTCTGCTGGACAATATGTGTAGCGCCTCTACAATGCTGCCTAACCCAAGGAGAACTGAGCTGTCCATCAGTGAAATTACCATGCTAAACCAACTAGCTGAACGCCGTGACAGCTCAACCAGTACTATCAGCTCTGCCTACACAGTCAGCCGCAGATCATCAGGAATATCCCCTTACTTCTCCAGCCGCCGTTCCAGTGAAGCTTCTCAATTTGGAAATCGCCCTAACAACACCAGCTCTGCTGACTCCTATGATCCTATTTCCACAGATGCCTCTCGCAGGTCAAGTGATGCCAGTCAATGTAATGGGTTCTCTGGTCTCCTGAATCTCACACCCGCTCAGCAGTACAGGCTGAAAGCTAAGTATGCTGCTGCCACAGGAGGCCCACCACCTACACCACTACCTAACATGGAAAGAATGACCCTGAGGAATAAAATCTCTCTCCTTGATGGTTCAGAGCCTGCTTTGCCTTCATTTCGTCTCCCTCCAGGGCCAAGGCGTTGTAGTGACAGCAATGCTTATGCGTATGGGACATCGCCTGCATTCTCTCATGAAGTGCCTAGTGCAAGACGGGCAAGTGATCCAGTAAGGAGACCTGCTGGGGACCCAGGTTCCCTTCCTAGAATCCATACTTTCAATAGCACCAACAGCATGAATCTTCTTCATCCTCATGCAGACAGAAGACAATTCAACCTTCCAGTCTTTCCACATGCAGACAGGAGCCTTGCTAGGCATGTGTACTCCCCACGACCCCCAAGTATTAGTGAAAATATTGCCATGGAAGCAATGCCTGGTGAGACAGATAGTTCTGTGGGAGATGACGATATTGTCCTGCCTGATGATGTGGTACAATACATCAAATCCCAAAACAATGGGGTTGCCACGGAGAACTCTTCTACAGGGTATGGCAGTGAAATGCAAAACTTCCAAGTAAACGCAAAAGTGCAAAATAACAATGCATTAAACCAGCGTAGAATGGCTGTTCCAGATCTGAGTATGAACCATGCAAACTCTGTTGGTGGTGGATGCCAAATAAACTATGGAGCTAACTCTAATTTGCATAAAAATAACATGCCAGTCCAGTGGAATGAAGTTAGCTCAGGAACTGTTGATGTACCCTCCTCTCAAGCAAAGCAGCAGTTCCCTCAGCGGAACCTAGCTGTATTCCATCAGAAGCAAAACTTTGGTCAGTATCAGAACTTCAACCAACAGCAGTTGCAGGCAGGCCAAAACAACATGAATGGGAATCTGCAGCAGTTTGTGCAGAAAAACGCAGGCATGGATGGACAAAGGCTCAATTGCATGCACTTAAAGCAGCAACAGGTGAATCCAGGTTCTGTTAACAACTTAAACCTGAACTCCCATGAAGTGTTCAACCAAGTTCATCATCAAATGCTAAGTCCAAATACGATGGGGGGTGGTGATGTCACCCAACTTTCTCCTTCCTGTAATAACATGACCATGAAGCCTGCATTCCACGTTCATTCTCAGCAATTAGATAACGTGGCTAATCCCATTTCAATAGTTAGCAATGGCAGAGAATATGTAATGCACAGTCAAGACATGCAGGAACCGGGGTATCAGCAGAGCTTTCCATCTCAGTCAAGCCATATGAACTTCTCCATGACACAAGAGGATTTCCACCAGCCTTCTGCATTAATAACCTCAAATCAACCCAACTTTGAGCCACAACAGAATACAATCAGTACCGTTGGACAGAGTTTCGCTTCCTCAATGGTACAACCTCACCCTCCACCTAATCCTAATCCAGGAAACAAGCACCAAGAAGTCCGTGCTGGGCAGCAGTTGGGATACGTGAGAATTTCTCACCTAACAAATGATGTAAGTTCAGGGCAGCAAAGGGCACACTCTTCCCCCAAGAGAACAACTGGTGTAGGATCGTTGCAACCACAATTTAACAGTAGTATGAGAGAAGGCCATTTGATGCACTATTATGGTCAAATACATATGTATGAACAAAATGGGAATGTCAATAACCAAACAGATTACAACGCCAGACAACAATGTGCGCTGAACACCAAACCAGCCACCATGCCTTCCCCTGGTACTAATCAAGTTTCTAGCACAGTGGATTCTCAGGGTCTGGAATCTCCTCAGATAGATTTTGATGCTATCATGGATGATGGCGACCATTCAAGTCTGATGTCAGGAACCTTGAGCCCTAGCATCCTGCAGAATCTCTCTCAGAACTCTTCTCGCCTTACAACTCCCCGAAATTCTCTGACACTGCCAGCTATACCAGCTGGAATTAGTAACATGGCAATAGGGGACATGAATTCTATGCTGACCACCCTGGCAGAAGAGAGCAAATTTCTTAACATGATATCTTAATGCATAAAGCACAAATGTACCTCTAAGACATATCCAGAGATTATGTGCTGGGCAATGTTATGAATGTGCTTTTCTTTAAAAAAAAAAAAAGGAGAAGGAAAAAAAGTTTCCATAGAGTAGACTTTTACAAGTATTAAAACATATTAAGGGAATTCCAAGTAAGAAAAAATATCTTTGTACAAACATGCATAAACTATGTTTAAAAAAAGCACTGAAAGGATGCACTTCTAGGATTACTTTGGTGCTTGTTTTTGGAGTGCTGAAAGATGCCACCCTTCTTCTTAAAGTGCTTCTGAAATGTGTCGCCAGTTATAAAAGGTAGATACATTGAGAATCCTTTCAAAAACCTGACTGCCATTGCCACCCTCCCTTCCCTTGTTAGCTTGCAACGGGTTAACGTTTCTTCAAACCATCAACCTCAAAATTAAATGGCACTTTGCCAGTTGTGAGACATTCAAAAGCCATGTGTTAAAATAATCACTGTTTAAAATGAAGCTTTACTTTTTGCAATCTCCTTTTGGCTTTCCCTTACCTATAGCTGCAAATATGTAATGCCTTGTCCTCCCTAGCGAGAGTTATAAATTTAAGCATATGCAAAGCCATACTATAAATGCTTCATGCTTTGCTTATGACCAGTTGTGCATGCATGCACAGACACACACACACACAACTTCATTATTACAGCCAGTATCGCTCTTTGTATCTTGCAGCTTAGCTGAGAATCAACTTTGAGGCAAAGTGCCTTACTGTGCATTAGCAGTTGAGACTTCTAGGCATCTGTTGTCCAATAATGTCAAATAAAGTGTATATTGCCAGAAGCATATATAAAATAAAGGTGCATTTATGTCAGGCAACACCGTGTGGCTAAAAGGACATTTGAGAGAGACATGTTGATGGGGAAATGTGAGAAACTATTGGGCTTTGGTTTGGTTGCTTTTTCTAATCAGAGGCCATCATGGAGAATGAAGTGGAAGTTTGAAAAACAAACTAATTTAAAGATATTGTAGGGGGAAAAATCTCTACCATGCACGGTGTGAAACACAGATCACTCTGAGTTTCTATGGACTTCACTTTGGAATTGCTCATACAAAAATCATAGTGCTGGAGTTTGTTAAATGACATAAAAATGATGCAGCAGAAATGTGAATGTTTTTATGTCATGAAATTTGTTCATCCCTCCCAGTTAGGTGTTCTATAAAACTGTTTAATTACACACTGCATGGGTTAGCTCTGACTGATATGTCACTTTGGAGGTGGCCAACTGGCTTTGGTAAAAATGATCTTCTGTTTGCTTGACCAGTTGTGATGTCATTATTGTGAGATTTTAAAGCCGTTCGGAGTTCCTTGGAAAAGAGGGATAGCCCAGAAAGAAAATAATTTAAGCATGAAATTAATAAATAATGCCAGGCGCCTCTTCAAACCCATTGTTAGAACTCTAAGTGGCATAATCTCATGAAAGCTTAGCATAACTGCTTTGAAGACCTTCCCATATTGCCTAAGCATGGAGAAAACAAGGAGATTCAACAACCGTCTTTCAGAAGGGTCTTCTGTGTCTTTGCCATTGTGCTCAGATGAAATGGGGAGGCCCTTGAAGAGCCAAACTTTCAAGATAACATGATAGATTAGTAGAATGGTTCAGTGCTACATGCTCATCAACTTAAGCTCATAAAAATGAATATTCTTGTGCTATTACAAGAATGGCAAATTTATAGTCAGTATTATGGCATCTAAGTTGCCATCCAGTTGCCATGTATTTAGCTAACATACTATTTATATACCTAACCCCTCCAGTAAGAAGAAATAGTACATCCATGCCTACTGTCCCATCTCTCTTAAGATAATTTTGGGTGTCAGTAAGCAGCTGTTGCCAAAACTGCATGTTATCCAGAAGTACTTGCACTGCATAATTGCACTAATTAATTCATGCAAACCAATGGGGGTGTTTATGCATTTATCTAATAGAAATTTGGAAAACATTATTTGGAAAGAGAAAATTATGAGATCAGACAATCATTAAGGGCAGAGATTCCAACCAGGAAAAGCTGGTGAAAAAAGTGGAACATGAAATTAGGCAGCTGCCAATTGCAATACAGGGTAGAGTGAATATCAAATGTAAAAAACCTTGGGGTACCAAGGTTTGCATTTTTATAATGGGGCTCACTAGATTTGAGTTAAGGTATTCAAGCCCAAATCACAGGCACTACCTATCAACATACACCGATATCTATCTAGACAACATTTCTGGGTCAACTGCTGATAAAACAAAGTTTGCTCTCTCCTATACAGCTTCTGCTTTTCCAAATCTGCTTCAGATGATTGAAGTTTATCTAAAACGGGTTTGAGAGCACACCAAAAAGAGGAGCAGAGCAGACAAAAGAAAAATAAAATCCAATTGTCTTGTGTGACATTAGAGTTAGCTCTATGGGTTTTATGGTTCAGCAGAATTATAAAAGCATAGCTGTAAAAGGATGGTATATTATGAATTCCCCACTTTATACATTTATACATTTGATTAAAGTGACTTATTTCATTATTTATTTTTGAACTTGTTTTAAAAAGAAAGGAGATATAAACCCAGTTCTTTAAAGAAACAGGGCCCCCAAGAGTGTCTTTGCTCATTTTTTTTTGCCTATCAGTATTCTGTATCAGAATCTGATCCATTTGCAGTGCCATTGATCTACCTTGTAGCCTCTACCTTGGAAATACACTGTCCGGCAAACATTGCCAAGATTAAGTCTGATTAGGATGACTTGAATGTGGACCTTTCTGGCTGCATACAAGCATATGGACATAAAGTCAAGCCAATCACACTTCTCCCTCCATAAAAAGCATGGAAGTTTTGAATAGCCATGTTTACATCAAGAAATGCCAATATATGAACTGGTTCTCAATTTAATCAATAGCTATGTATCAGCAGGTGATGGATTACTGTCTCACAGGTTTTCCTATGTCTGATGTTTAACGCCATAGAAAAGGGAACTTCTCACAGCAGAGTTTGTGGTGGCAAAATTTTCTGGATAGTACATTTCCATACCCATTTCTTATTAATTATCCTTTCCTTTATCTGTACATTTTTCAGTATCATCAAGAAAAATCTATTTGGTTTGGTCTTTCATCTTGTTAAAGGTTACCCTGCAGAATATGTTTGTTTGGGTGTCTCAAGAAAACCAATTTAGTATTCCAAAAATGTATTGTTTCTTTGTTTCCCCCCATTCATAATGGACAATGGAAGACTTAAAAGAAGGAGAAAGGGAGAGATAATAACTACAGTAGTTCTTCTCAAGACATCTGAATATTGAACATCTAAAGGCAAGACAGGAAAGTGATTTTTTTTTAAATGAATTGTTCTTTCAGTAGGATGACAGTGTTGCTATCAGCCTACTAATGTGGACCTTTCAGATCTGTTCATAGGACCATGCTCAAGTGATATTTGTGTAGCATTACACACATGATTTGGTTGTGTGACACCCCCCCTCCCCATCCTCATCACTTAGAATTGTCTTGATACAGAATAAGAATAGCACAAAGTTTCAAAGAGCTAAGAAGATATTGGACCTCCCACAAGCCATCAGGATGCCTGGTTGCAGGAATGTGTACTGATATGAACCTTGAAAAGCATTAACAAATGCAAACACAAACAGTTTGTCCATTGTTTTCTTCAACTTGTCCATGGTGGTCTCCCTTTATTTTCTGTAATAGTATTATAACAAAAAAAAAAAAAACCTGGCTCTGTATATATTCTGTATAGAAGGCATTCATTATTAATAAGAGTACTGTAGCTGAATTGTTCTGCCTTTATATCTCCAGGAGCTTTTTATCTGTTTTCTACATCGTACGGATGGCAGTCATATGCTAAAACTGTATATAAATGTTTTGTACATTAAAAATAATTTTTTTCATAATTTCTGTTTTTATTCATTATTGTTCAGGATGTGTCATAAGAGAGAGGCACAAAATAAAACTCTATATCATTACACATCATTACATTTTGTAAGCATTTATCTCTTTTAAACATTTATACAGCCACCCATTTGAAATCAAATACTGGGCAGGTCCCAATCAGCAATTAAAACAATATCAATAATGAAACAACATTTTCATATGTTGAAACCATAAACATTAAAAGTTAAACTTTTGACATGCAATCCACTATAGAATCTTGCTTATGTTTGAGCTGTTATTCTATACAATTATAGCATGAATTTGACACATAATTTACAATTCTTTGCAACTCAAAGAACTAGTGCAAGATCGGAAGATGTGGAGAGACCTGGCCCATTCAATTGCCAATGGATAACTGGACTGAATGGCTATCATCATCATCATCATCAAACAAGCATCTCACTAGGATGCTGCTATTGCCTACAACTCCTTATTCAGAGAAATCTGGAGTAATGGACAAAATGGGGATCCATTCCTGTGTATCTTAGTATTATCAGAGGGGACAAAAACTCTGCCTGATGACTGATACATTTTGCCCATCCTTATAAGTCCTCTCTCCCAGTCCATACATTATTTTACAGACCTTGGGTTGGATATACATTTGAAGTTTATTTATTTATTCCTCCATATTGTGTGAGAAATCCTTCTAGAGTAAATCCTGTTATAATTAAAGTCTATGCAAGCAAACTTTATTTTACTCCATGTTGAGTTATCCTGATCAGGAAGAGCAACATAAGATTGTTCCATGCCTAAAAGTTGCTAATGTAACTACAACATTAATTCATGAGGCCATTGTAAAAATACAACCTTATTTTGCATCCGACATATTGGAAACAGTCTTCTTTGAGGATAGGCTTAAAATAGTCTTAGTCTTTGCATCTGCTTCACATTCACTTCTCTGTCAGCATAATGCAACTAGAGACAAGGAGCATTGCAATGCTCCTTTGAGGACACACAAAAATAGTATTGCAAATAGACTCTGGTGCTAAGCTTGGTCTGAAACTGATGGTAACATGGGCCTGACCATGCTAAAGCAAACAGGATTTGTTTTTGGTTTTTTATTGTTTTATTGCCCTTTTCTCAGCTTAAGAGATCACTGGGGGGAAAAACTTCCCAAGGATTGGGAAAGGAACTGCTTGTAAAAACTCATGGTGAATCCAGCCATGCATTGCCTATTCTATTTATTAGGGATGCAAGATTTTTTTGCCATTGTATGTGATTTGATCCTTTCAGTGCCTTGGAATGGATGCTCTACCTGTGGGATCTTCACGAAGTGGGCCACTAAAGCATATTTTAGATTTGACTTGTGGAAAGAAGTAATGACTTTTAATAAACACTGGTGTTAAGGAGCTAATAATCAAAGGATAACTCCAAAAAGTAACTGATTCGGCTTCGGTATTGATTCTGTCCTCATCCACTTAATTGTAAAACACAAATTTGGTGACGTGGTCATAGAAGAAAAAAGGCATGTCACTCTTAGCCTAATAGTCTCTCTTTCTACTTCAAGGAACCTTGTTCCTGAGAAACAGAACTACACCTGGCTATCTTATAAATCCACAAAACATTCTCCAGTAAATTGCATGGATGACAATTTATGGCCATGCAGATCCTTTTGCTGACAGCTATTTAATGTGTAAATAAAACAGCTGAAGAAAACAAACTTGTCTTCTCTAAGTATAATTTCTTCCTGCAGAATTTATGTTTCAAGTAAAATCTGCAAACTACCCGTTTAAATATGTTGCTGTAAAAGTAACAAAACAAACAAGACCAAAGTGAAGTTCATAAATAGAGGGCTGATCTTGAACTTGTTAGATTATACTTGCATGTGGAACTCCAACAGGAGTTACTTAGTTTACTTGTAAAACTGCATGTTTGCCTTTTTGGGGCAATGGAACAGTTTTCAAAGCTGTTCTGAGGATATCACCTTTTCCATTCAAACTGAGGTATGTGTTATTGTATACATATATATCTTCCCATATTTATAAACATGGGAAGAACCCTGCTAGATTAGACAGAGGTCAGTCTACAAACTGCCTCTCACAAGTTCAGAAGCTGAGCATGAAGATGCTGGTCCTCCTTGGCTGTTGCTTCCAGCAGATGGCTTTAAAGCTTTTTGTGACAAAATGGTGGCCACAAAGACAACATCAAAATCGTTTCCCTTTGTATGTGCAAGCAATGTGGGGCTTCAGGTGAATGGTTGCAATTGCCATCTTGATTTTCTTGTCCTTTTTAAATTTATATTTGTTTATCCAGGTTTGATTATTTTTATAAATAACTCAAAGTGGCAAACATACCTAATACTCCTTCCTCCTCCTATTTTTCCCATGACAACAATCCTGTGAGGTGAGTTGGGCTGAGAAAGAGGGACTGATCCAAAGTCACCCACTGGGCATTGATGCCTAAGGTGGGACTAGAACTCCCAGTCTCCTGGTTTCTAGCCTGGTACCTTAACTACTAGAGCAAATTGACTTTCTTTACAAATTTTTCTCCTTTCCAGCTCTTTTTCTTAGAACACTAAATATGTAAAATAGCACAGCGTACTATATTTAGGCAATCCCCCAGTGCGAGTGGCTACATGGACTTAATATATACTCTGATGTGAGAACATTTAAGCCCCAGAGAGGGATAATTGACCAATTGTTGGGGATCCTAAATTACATCAATCCCTTGCTGGTTCAGTTAAGCATGCATGATGACTGTGGACCATGACTGAGGGAGAATATTATAAGAGGTTCTCCATGCTTTCTTCCACAGGTATGGCGGAAATATTACAGGAGGAAATTCACTAGGAGACAGAATAATGCTTTCTAGAGTGGTGCTACTCTCCACCTTTGAAAGTGATTCAAAATCTTCAAATCCACCAGCCAATGCCAGCTTTACAAAAAGTTTAGTGCCAAAGGCCTACCGCCTCTATCTTCATTCACATTATTCATTATCCATTTATGTCCATGTCTCTCTTTTTTGCAGCATATGACATCAGAAGCACCCTGCCAGAGAGTGACACTGATCTGAACTTCAGTCAGTTAAAGAGCAGATAAATGTGATGGTTATAATAAAAATGAGGGGCTGAACATGAAACACATACCAGCATTGCTCAGCATTAGAAGTAATAATTCCATTTTATTTAATAGTTCTTCTCAAGCTCCCACTGCCAGAAAACTAGGCCTGTTAAATTTTATTCTGAGGTGCTATAAGTTGAAAAGCTAGGCAGCCACATGCTCTAGGACAGTGATGGCTAACCTTTTTGTCGTCGTGTGCCAAAAGTGCGTGCACATGTCCGCACCCATAATGCAATGCACATGCAAGCCCCCCACCCCCTGCGCATGTGTGTGTGACCCCCATGCATGCCACATGCCTCTGCGCATCCTCCCCACATGCGTGGTGGATATCCAACAATCAGCTGGCTGGCGGGAGGCGTGCACATATGCGCAGTGGGCGACGGCTCTTTTGGGCGACGGCTCACATACCGGCTGAGATGGCTCTGCCTGCCACTTCTGGCATGCGAGCCATAGGTTCACCATCATGGCTCTAGGGTATCCACTGCACACCAGGAAACCTGACCAGAAGCATAGCTGGGTAAATATAAATAAATCTATTTTGGGATCTTAAGGAAAAAAACAGATGCAAAGTCTGTGCAATTTATAGGACATGGTCCTGTCTCAACTGAAAAGGCAGGATATTGATTAAATCAGATAGAACAGGCAGGAGTCAGCACCCAACCTTTATTGTGAACAAGCCAGAAGAGCTGCCCTTAAGTGCTGCTGGCTCATTTCCTAACCCACATATTTTTTTACTGTTAAAATATTTTAGGGTTTTCAAATATTTTATAAAAGGCAAACATTTTGAGACCCTTTTAAGTATAACTACCAGACATGAAAAGTTTATGCTTCATTTTTTTATAACTAGTTTTTCTCTTCACCCACCCACAATTTTTAACTGTTTTCAGATCTGGCCCTTCTTTCTGCAGAGAATGTATCCTCCACCACTCAAAGGTCAGTGCTGTTGCCTCTTCCCGAAATAAATTATATTAATAAATGTCTTTTCCATATAACAGGAAGGAAAAACTGTGTAGACTCACATATGTAGCTTGGCTGAATTGCAGCCTGGAACTTTTCCAAATTGTATTCCTCAATCAGTGCAAACCTGACTTCTGTACCTTCCTATTTTCACCAATAAGCAGTTCTGAAGAGCAATAGAATCGCCAAATATCTAGCAAATAATATAAACACAACTTGGGCTTGGAACAAAAACAATGCTCATGGGGCAGAGACAAGACCTGGAGCATCACATTCAAAGCTAATGTTACAAAGGTTGAAAAAATAATGCTCCAAATTTTGCATCAACCATGGAGCAGTTGGTAAAAGAAAGTCCATGCTTTTGATCAATCAATTACAGCTTTCAGAAGTGAATTCCTGTTCATTTGCTAATTCTGAATTGAGCTACCCTAGAATAACCCCTCTTAAGATGTGGTAAAATGAGTTGATAGCCAGCATAACTATGTGTTTTATGATAACAAGGATGGTTCACCATGGTACAGAGGCAACAGGAAGATGCACATTTTACTCTCTTGTTAGGTAGGAGATGGATGGATGGATGGATGGATGGATGGATGGATGGATGGATAAAAGAAAGGGGGAAGAGGCGAGGGAGAAAGAAAGAGAGAAAATAGTCATAGCAGAAAGTGATTTTGTTGATATCTAGAGACTCCTGAATGAAAGCTTATAGCAATCAGGGAGCAGGAATTTAAGTGTTAATGCTATAAATTTTCATGGAGGGCTCAATTTGTATCTATATGTAAATAATTCTTGAATTTCAGAGGACTTTACTTTTTTTTTTATAAACCCCCTCTAAAGTTTGTCAAACTGGTGATCTAATAGTTGAAATTACAATTTCCATAGTGCAATTCAAGAAATGCCACTTGGGGTTATG